ACCGAATCGCACTTCGGGATTTTCGGGATTCGATCCGTTATATCCTGACCTGTATTCAGGATTTCGTTACCAAATTACACTTCGGGATTTTTGAGATTTGGCCGGTTACATCTCGACGTGTATTCATAATTTTGCTTTTCAATCTCACTTCGGGATTTTCATGATTCACTTAGTGTTATTTATATATCATATCCCGATGTGGATTAGGAATTTCGTTACCGAATTGCACTTCAGGATATTCGTGACTTGGCTAATTATATTCCGACGTGCATTTGGGATTTTGATATTGAAACGCACTTCGGGATCTTTGTGATTTACTTAAGTGTTATTTCTATGTCATGTCCCGATGTGGATTTGGATTTTCGTTACCGAATCGCACTTCGGGATTTTCGGGATTTGATCGGTTATCTCTTGACGCCGAATCACACTTCACAATTTCCAGGACTCGCTCTGCCATATCCCGATGTGGATTCGGAATTTCGTTACCCAATCTCACTTCAGGAATTTCGGGATCTACCTTTTTGACATTAGAGCAAATTTAAGATCAACTTAGTGATAATTCTAGAACATATATAAAAAACAAAACAATGTAAAAAAAAGGAATACAAAAATTGGGAGGAGAAAGAAACAGGTAGAACATTAAAGGTGAAAGTGTGAAATTAAAAAAAAAAAAAAACAGAGGATGAAAAAAATAAATAAATTGAATTAAATAAAAATAACGGTGGAAAATAAATTAGGTAAAAAATAAAAATATTTAAAAACATTGTATGCTAGCCTGGTGACACAAAAAATTATCTTTTTTTTTCTTTTTTTATTCGGCATTGGAGCAAATTCATAATTTATTTAGTGATATTGCGATAATAGATCCCGATGTGTAATAAAATAACAATATATAAAAAAATACAAAGATTATTAAAAAAAGGTAGAAGATTAAGGGTGAAATTGAAAAATTAAAATAAAAAAACAGAGGGGAATTGAAAAAAAAATAAACAGATCTGGAATCAAATAAAAAAGTTCGAAAAAAAAATATGTAAAAATCTAGGCTACCAGAGTGACTTGGGACCACTTGCCCCGCCGAGCCAAAAAAGATTAAATAAATAAATAAATAAATTTATTTTAACTTTATTTTTATTTTTTATTTTTGGTAAAGACTTTGGATATGACACTGAGGCAAAAGTTGTTGAGTTATTTTTTCTGCATAATGTAATTTTTTTGCAGATTTTTCTGATTTTGTTTTCTTTTCTTTTTTGTTGAGACCTACTTTGGCCCTTGCACGGCCTGGCCGCCCGGGAAAATAAGGTCACCCGGGCGGCTTGGCTGGTAGCCTAGGTAAAAATTAAAAATAGTTGAAAAAAAGATGTAGCTAGGTGACACAAAAAATATATATATATATTTTTTCCCACAGTGGAGCAATTTCCCGCTCACTGAGACGAACCCTAAGCCCGCTCACTGATATCACTGAGTCACCAGGGTACAAGTGGAGTTCCCTTGGAGAGAAATTCTCACAAAGTGAAGAAACAATATTCAGATCAGAGTCATCATAGTAAAGAAGAAATTGACGATAATCACTCAGTCACTCAGCGCTTCCCAAGTTCAACAAGACTCACACAAGCGGCAAATGACAGGTTCGCAGATGATGAATGTCACCACGAAAACAATCGCCATGCATTAGTGATAAATGCAACATGAAGAAAGTTAATTGCAACTTAAAAAAGAAAGAAGAACAACTGCATTGAAGTAGCATGTTTGGCCAGAATGAACAACATGGACATCGTGATGGATAGCGACAGTTGTAAGACGCCAATTGTTTGTCATTCTTTGATATTTGCAGTTCTCGACACCAGATGCGACTCATAACACGGTTCAAAACTGTTGTGGCCCTTGGTGTAGAGATGAACAGTTGTAGCTGCTCCACACGTTGCATTAACTCTCCGACCTGGGATTTCATAGCTCTCTCTCTCTCTCTCTCTCTCTCTCTCTCTCTCTCTCTCTCTCTCTCTCTCTCTCTCTCCTCCCGACTTCACTTGATTTTTTGTGAAAGTTCTGCCTCGATTGCATAAAATGCACAACCCTTGTATTCCATCTCTGCACGAAGGCAGTTGCAGCCTTAAAAAACAAAGAAGAATAGCTGAATTGAACTAGCACGTTTGGCTGCATTGGATAATAGGGATATTTCTGTTCGTAGTACTCAGTAGCAAATGACACTCGTAACGCTGTTCCAAACTGTTGCGGCCTTTAGTGATGAAGATTAGCAGTTGTAGCTCCTCCAAACGTTGTATTTACTCTCAAACTTGGGATTCCGTAGCTCTCTTTCTTTCTTGCTCTCGCTCGCTTGCTCTCCCTGACTTCACTTAATTTCTTGTACAAGTTCTATTTAGATTGCAAAAAATGCACAACCCTTGAACTTCATCTCTGCAAGGAAAGTTGACTTGTGCATCATGAAACATCCACGAGGCAAAAACTCGTCAAGAATTTTCAATTGATGCGAGAAAAGATATACATGTCATATAGACACAGAACAAGTGGTTTAGATGTTATAAGAAGTCCTTGAGGTATGTAAAGGGATATCATTTTATGCGTTTCTTTTTGTGTCTGTCTGTGTTTTCTTTGCCACTTCCTTTTTCATTCTGGCGCGTTTAAGCCCGACTATTTTTCTACCACGAAAGTGTAGCATTACGACAACAGTATTGACAAAGCCATTCTTTTGTAGGCTGAAGGATCCCCGGGCAACATTGATTACTTCATTTTTTTATTTTAACTATTCCTGTTTTTTTTTCCAAAAACAATCCATGGTGTAGTAGACCTCAGGAAGTCCCTATGGTACGCATCCATTGGGAGGTCATATGGGTTACTAAGCTCCCCTAGGGGAGTCACCTCAAAGTGGCGTCACAGTGACATGACCTATACTGGTGCTCAGATCGCAAGTCGTGATCTGCGCCAACGCTTACCGAACTGTATTTTCATACAGGAATGACTTCAAGCTTGTGTCCCTCCCCAACCCTGTGAACTTAGTTTATTAGGTTTAAGCTTGAAATAGACAAACCCGTAGCTGTTGATTTCTTGTGTCTTACCTCAGTCCTGGCTGATTGTTGCATGATTCTTAGGTGACCCGCAACCGCAATCTGGTTCTTTGCATTCCTATGGAAATACGTTGATGCTTTTGGGCTACCTGGTAGATGATTCATATGTGACCCGCAAGCGCAATGTGGTTTTTTGCATACCGATGAAAAAATATTGATGCTTTTCTATTTTTTGAACCCATGGTGCTGCAGGTACAATTTTCCCTCAACTTACTCAAATGATAACTGTCATTTTGGATCTGTATTGGTACAGGTATATGAACAGAATAAGGCTCAACTTTCTTCTATCAATTATCTGTCAAATTGACCATGAGAGGAAGAGCACCACAGATGTTGACGAGATCAAACGTCGAGTTCTTCAATACATATAAAAAAAACTGCAATAAGAAAAACGAAGGTTGCTGCGATTGTTGTGTTCGAGCTTATTGCTGCTTCTCTTCAAGGCATTGAGTGGTCGTAAGTCAAGGCCTTATGTACTGTGACTTGCGAATATTGCTGCTATTTCAAAACACTACCAATTTTGTCAGAACAGTCGGCGGTTCATAAGCTTTGTCGGGACGATGGTAGAAGGTGACGGGATGGGACCTCATTGATGTTACTTCTTCCTATTTGACATCCCTCTCTCCGGGTCTTTGTTGATCAATGTCTATGAGAGACTTTGTGCATGTCCCTTTGTGTATGTACACCCTGCTTTGCCCCCCCGCCCTCCCCCACTACCAAGGCAGGCCGTGTTGTAATTGAAGACCACATGTGTTCTATACCAACGCAACCCATTTGGACGTTTAACATTGCGTTCTCTTCGGGTTTGCGTTGTGATATGTCAATGTTGCTTCTCTTCCAGAGACGACTTAGATGATAGGGTATATAAGGATGTTTGCTGATTGGAGGTCGGCATTGGTGCTGACATCAAGTACATTGGTCTTCTGTGTCTAAGTGATCATGTTGCATGAATGTATGGGATAAAACCCTACCGATAGTGCTAGCGGAGAGACCATATTGGGATGACCGGTGAGGAGATGACCAACCCGTTTGTGAGGTTGCCTGATTTTCTTTTATGTGTTCCCCCTCTGTAAAAATTGATTGAGATTGGACTGTTGGACGGGCACTCTTCTAAGTCTATTCCCCCTCCCATCTAAGTCCACACGAGTGAGAGATGATCGGAAGGAAGAAGGATAAAGGTCAATTGGAATGGAACCAAGAGAAAGAATGTGGACAAATGGGTGGCCGACCGAGGGAATTATGGGAAAAGAGGTACTTAGGAATGGGAAGGTAAATTAAGGAGACCTTAATGGGGGGTCTGAAATAATCCTCATTTAAGAAAAGAGGTTGCCCTGACCAGAAGAACCGGTTGGTACTCCTCTATACGTTTATACTTGCCTATTCTTAGAACGATGATGACTTCCTCGGCTTTATCTCCGTAGAAGGGCCCATATTTCAATGAGAGCCTATAGAACTCCTCAGTCAACTAGGCACACTCTATATGCACCCTTCTCATGGAGTCGGCTACTTCTAAAATGTGCTAAAACCCCCCAAACCACTCGGCTATGAATTCCGGTACCCAAGCCGTTATCCGTAGACTTGGAGGTTTGAGTTCCTTCCATCCTCCCATCACAACTCTGCTACTAACTTTGTGTCATCCCTCGTTAGCGAACAGCTTGCCTTCCTTTCGGGTTCGGGCCTCTGCATCCCCTAGAAGCCACATCGGGTCTTGTCCCATTGCTAACATGGTGCAAAACAGGTGCCATCCATCCTCGGAAAGGGCAATCGTTCCAACCGACTCTACCTTGCCTTCTGCTATATCATCCCATCCTTCCTCTTCCCTTATCGGGTTCCAAATCCGCTCTATCCATACATATGACAAGTCCCGGGCAACCTCAAACCCAATCCAATCGCACGTGGTCCCTCTCCATCAGTTCCCTGTTGGTATAGGCATTTTCATTCCTCCTCTGAGTCGCCGTGGTTTCCAGCCTTTGAAGGGGTATTCCATCATCCTTTCTTCTCTAGTCATCTTCCCCTTCCCTGCACAATACCAGACCACCCGTCCTCCCTAAGTTAAGTTTCCCCACTCCTCTCAGAAGTCCCAATCCTCTATCTCCTCATCCTCGTCCTCATCACCGAAATCGTCCTCTCTGTCGTAGAACAACTTTTTCACCCCCTCCAGAAATGTCTCCCCTATTGCCACATTTCTATACACTATCCCCCAATGCACAGGGCTAGAGACATAGATATTGTCTAAGCTAAGACAGCTTAGTATCTCGGCCAGTTCGTCCGCCCAGTTTCCCTCAAACGACCCCATTTCTACTGACAACCGAAAGAAATCCTGCCTAGCGCATTGATATAGCCCGAGGTTCATCATGGACTGACATACCCGTACTAGCCTGCTCCGAGTTCCGAAAACCGCATCCACTAGGAAGGGAGGCAGCACACATCGCATGGTTCTTACGGGTCGCCTCATGCTTCCTCTATCCCCAAGTTCCACCCGCACATTTACCCTTTCCATTTCCATCTCCCTTCGCTGACACGCAGCCCACACGACCTCCGTTTCCGCCTTCTTAAACAATTCGTCCGGCGTATTCTCGAGTGTCAATTCTATGACCATAACATTCTCCCCATCTTGTGACAAGTAGACCCACCCCCGAGCTTCCACTGTTCCCCGGAACTCCAAATCCATTAAACTTGGTGACAACCTTGTCAAGCTAACATTAGCCCATACCGTCTCTATCCATAGGAACGCGTCTTTCCCATCCAGCATCACGGTTTGATATGCTGGTTCAAGGTCCGTCCACGCCCCATCTTCCGGGAGGACGACCGACACCCCATCCTTTACGTCTACTGACATCTCTGGACCGCTGGTATAAGTCGGGGGAGACAACCATCGTGTCATCCTGTTTCCAGTTGCCGCTATCCCCAACTCATACACGTTCAATTCTACCCGACCCCCATTTTCCAGTTGCTGTCACTTCCCCCTTGTTTCGATTCTTATGCACCATCTACGACCTAATGTACACACTCCCTTTCTTATGTTACACCTTACTTCACAAGCACCCTCCATACTCAGGCCTTTCGCTGTGTTCGACCCCTTGGCCTCATTCAGTCGAACCACAGTACCTCCAATAGTTTAAAAACGTCGTCTACGTAGGAGGGTGCAGCTGCCGTGGGATCCGGCCACCAAGAATATCAGAGGGCAGGGTCGAAATAAGCCTGCCGACAAGAAGTACGATAGGCAATCCGGTAATGGACTGGGTGGGGGTAGAGTTGGTGGAAGATACGGTTTACCTAATAGTGGAGCTGGAATGGCGTGCGAGAGGGGAGTTCGGGGCTGTAGACTTCAACCGCCCAGGGCGTGTACATGCGACGGGATCCTTACACCTATCGGAAGAGGGATGGCGGACCTTTGGGATTGCTTTGGCTTCCGGGGATGACCCCGTGCGAATGTTCGAAGGGGCATGGCAAATAACTTGGCGGGAGGGGCTTGAGTTTGCAGACCCAGAACGAGATGACGTAACGGCGGAGGTAAAAGTCGCCGCGGCGGGGGTTTTCGAGCTGCCCAGTGAGGTCGTACGGATGAGTCTACCACCCTTCCAGCTAAGACGAATGGGGGGCATAGAACGAGTGGAGCAGGCGGTGACTGCCATAACTAGGCTAAATTTTGACGAAGCATTAATGTACCGAGAATACTATCGGGCCCTCCTAGAGATGGGGCCTTTCGGGGATGAACAGGGCCGCGAAGTGCTTTGCATTCTACGAGCGGCAATAGATACTAGGCCGGGAGTCTCATAAATAAATGATGAGGCCTTATGGGGAGTCATCCGACGGGAGGTAGGCCGGGGCGCGAGCTACATACATGACCTGCACCGATTGTACGAACAGCCAGAAGAGGCTACTGCTCCCGAAGGTATAGAAGGATAGTTGGAACTAGAAAAGAAAGTTGAAAAACATGAAGCGCGAGGGGGCAGTAGGTGGACGGTTTCTAAGAATTGGCTGTAACACTTTCTATGTGGATCATGCAGGAAATCACCAAGGTAACCATGACAGCAAGACGTGAGCATATGGAACTTCAGGCCCGTGTGCGAATGGCGCGCCAACCCCGGTACCCCGGACCGCCTTGGAATAACGGTGGACGCTGGGAAGTATCCCTCCAGTCGAGTTCAACTTATCGGGGGTTCGATATAGAATGGCGGGCTGTGACTTTGGGGAGGGACGCCGCCTTCATGTTGGTAGAATGTCGGTGGACAGGGATGAGACTCGACCGAGGACCCGGGGATGATCTGTTTTCCAATCTGGAAGTTACCGGGACCATGTATCTGCTCGAGATTGGCTCGCACTCGTTGGGGGTAGAGATAGCACAAGGTCACGAGCTGGCGCCGGTTTTTCAAAGGGTCGCCCGGACGTTGAACCGGATAGGACAATCAGTCAGGGGTAGAAGGAACATGGGCTTACTTACCTGGGTGGAAATGGGGGGATGGCATGAATTCAGAGCACCAACCACGCCGTTGAGGTGCCGGGTCCCCCGTTTTATGATAGATCTCATCTTCGGGAGCCTCGCAAGGGCGCAAGAGCTGGCAGACTCGGCAATAATGTGGGCATACCACTTTCCCTCTCTAACCATCGGGATGTTCTATGATGTCGCCGTGAGGCATGGGCCGTTTTGGGGAAACAGGGCCCACAAGTTACTGGAGGTCATCCATATCCTGATATTTCGTGCGCCCTAGCTAGACCAGACAGTGCACGAACATAATCCAAAGGGAAATCGAGATAGGAGAGAGCTATTTGGCAGGGGTGGCTGAGTTATTCGAGGAGCCGACCGAACCGGAAGAACCACGAGGGCGAGAGCGGGACTAGGATCCGCAGGCAGACCAATAGAGCAGATCCAGTATAGTTCCCTGCGTACGGAAATCCGCCGATGGGAATAAGAAAGGGGCCTCGGACCCGGATGGCTAAAACCCATTAGGAAAACAAAGAAGGGGTTAGACTCCTAATTATTGACCACAACCCTGAAGGTCAAAAATAGGAAACACTGCTTGAAAAGACTTTCCCTAGCAGAATGCCTAACCCGGACTCCCTCGCATCGGCCCGACGGGACAAGGGCACTACAAACAGGCTTGTGATAAAGGAAGCCAAGTCACGCTCATAGCTCGGCTGAGCGGCAGGGCCAGTCGTGGCTCCTCCTTAAGGAAGGGCAATCAGGAAACAAGGATGGGAAAGGAGGCCATACAGATAAGCCAACAGGGTTGGGAGCCTAGGAAACCTAAAATACCCCGCATTGCGTGTGTCCTGGGAATTCTTTGGCTTATGCAGAACTAGGCAAAATGACAACGGAGGAGGAGACAGATAATCATAAGAGTGAAGAAGAACCGGGCTTAGGAGGTAGTGCCGCACAAAGCGAAGGGGGGCAGAAGGACAGAGAATCGATAAATCCGGATGGTACCAAAGGGAACCGGAAGGAGATCTCCACAGGGGAAAGCTCGAGGAAAGTTGGGGGAAGTAGGCAGGGGGCTCAGGGACCAAGGAAGGCAGGAATAAGGATAGGACAAGCCCCGGGAACTCGGAAGGAGCCGTGTCTACCCGTAAGCCGGTCTTGGAAAGAAACCCGGGATGTGATGATGAGAAAGTATCTGGCAGCAGAAAAGATGGCAACGGAGGCCGATTTAGCGGCAATCTAGAGAAAGAACTTCGCAACGTACAATGACTTCCTACGGGAGTTTACCTTGGTAGCACTAAGAATCCCCGGGGTTACGGATCGAATAATGAGTAAGTATTTCCTCAGACAGTTCTTCGAGTTCGACAAGGACAAGATCCTGTCGGCTTACCAACAGACGAGCAAATTTGTAAACATCAGGGACGTTGATTTCAGTACGGTAACGGATCTGGCCGAAAAGACGGTAGTGACTGAGACATTGGCCTTGCTTAAAGAAGGGGAGATTATAGACTTGACGAGTAGGACGGGCGACAAGGTGAAAAAGGGGATTGAAAGCCTACACGAACGGGTGCACGGAGTCGACAACAAGATTGAAAGGATGGAGAGCGCGCTACTAGTTATGCATGCGCAAGTATCCCGTCCCCCCCTCCCGCCCTAGGAAGCAGTAGTTCCGCCAGGGGTGGCCAATCGTGGATTCGGACGGAGAGATCCCGCTAACGAGCAATGCAAGTACTGTACCGCGATAGGACATTATGTGCGCGCGTGCCCAAAGCTCAACCATGATATTCTAAAAAGAAGGTGTACCAGGTCATTAAAGGGGGAGATATTTTGACCACAAGGGGAACGGGTGAACTGGAACTCACCAGGAGGGATGTGGCGAGCCATTATCATGCTCAACGGGCTAGAAATAACAGTCGTAGAAGCCGAGCCGGTGGGCGAGATCATCTGGGATCAACGCCAGGGGCGCGGGCCACAGGCCAACTTTATTTTGGAAAGCGACGGACGTGATAGGGTGAACGCAACCACTCGACTGGGAACGGCCGGAAGAAGGATTAATCGTGACACCATTATAGAGGAGGTCGTTGGAAGCTCCGAACCCCAGGCAGAGCCTGAGGCCGAGGAACCAGAGAAAGTCTATGGGAAGCTTAGGGAAGAGGAGCCTGCGGACAAGGTTACCGCAGCTAAGAAGAAGTTTAGGTATCAAATCCCGATCTTAACCTTACCTGAGCTCGATGACACAATTAGTACGTTACTAGGAACCATGGTGTCGGTGTCTTTTCGGACCATGCTGCAGGCTAGCCCTAGGTTGCTCAAAGGGCTCAGACAACTGTTGACTCGGAGGCGAGTAGAAATAGGCGACAACCCCGAATTACCAGAAGGGGAGAGGGAGGAGGAAGCTCCGCAAGAAGTGGCTAATCTTCAGAGGGGTCACGGGGACTTGGAGGATCTCGAAAAGGCCTTTGCAGACATTCGTTTGAGCTTGCCCGACCGAGAGAGCAGCGAAGTCATGAGATCGCCACCCGGGACGAAGCTTAGCTTTCATGCGCTGCCCATAGAGAAACTGAAGATTCAGATCGGAAGTCATCATACCAACGCATTAGTAGACGGGGGAGCAGAAATCACTCTCATAAGGAGAGATTCACAACGATCGCAGGATGTACGGTAAACGAGGAAGTAACAGGGAGCATCCGGGAAGCTGGCGGGGAAATCCCGTTCGCTGGGTACGTCACAAAGTGTGCTGTGAAGGCAGGGGTCAGGGAATCGATCTGGTCGTTTCAGCGGATGACCGTAATGGACGAAATGGACCGTGACATAATCCTCGGGAGACCGTGGTGCGCGAACGTAGAGATGATAGGCATGCACTTGCACGATGGCTCATACATAGTAGACATAGAGGATCCTGTGACCGGCCGGGGAGAGCTCCTCCAACTCCTTGGAACGGGAAAAGACCCCCCGAAGGGGAAATTGGCAACATGGTTGCCGTCGTTCGAGGATAGCACGCGGAAAGGGGCTTTCGCACGGATGGAGGGTATGAGAGAAAAGGTAGAAATCATGATTGAGGAAGCGTTCAACAAGAAGAAGTGGATCAAGATGGGCCTGCCCCAGAAGAAGAGGAGGCAGGAGGACGAAGTCCTAGGTGTTATGGTAGTGGAAAAGGAGTCAGAGGTCGAACTTGGTGCTAGCCTGCCCAAACGAAAAGAAGTACGCAGAGACATGCCGAAAATCGCACTCAAGATCCCCGATCTATTGCAACTCATTAAGGCCCTCAGACAGGGTTGTCGAGCCCCGGCCCCGGGGCCCCGGCGGGGTTCTGGGGTTCCGGGGGTGGGCACCCCCAACCCCGGCTCCAGACCCCCCCGCAAAAAAA